AGAGAGAGAGAGAGAATATGCGGTTCGTGCGGCAATTGCAGACCATTAAAATGACGACGACAAGATACAGTTAATGTCTGAGAAGAAGAGCACGCAAGCATAGAAATATGCTATCGATTTTTGTATGCGATATCATCTGTGGTCTATCAAACTGTGGCAAGACAAACGTGCTGATAAGCTTGCTAGAAAGTCTACACGATGTACACTTCGAGAACGTGTACGAGTACTCAAAATCGCTGCAACAACCGAAATACTTGGAGAATTTATTGACACCGATAAAAGAAATTGATTATTTTACATTCTTCAATAATAGTGACGTCACCGAATGAAGCGCTTCCAAATTCTATTTTTATTTTTGATAACGTCGCATGCGAGACAAGCAAGACATTATAAGAGAATATTTTGCAATGGGCCGACACGCCGATATTGATTCCTTCTATCTCTCTCAGATATACGCAAAGATACCAAAGCATCTTATACGTAACAACGCGAATCTGTTAATTCTATTCAAACAGGATGATACTAATCTGAAACATGTATTTAACGATCACGTAAACACTGTCGTATGAGGACATGTCGTATGAGGATTTCTGTGAATTATGTCGTATTTGCTGGCAGCAAAAGTATGGATTCCTAGTAATAGACAAGGATAGTGCATTTACAGATGGGTGATATAGAAAAGAATTTAATGACTTTGCGATACTGTGATGTAGTTAATTGTTGCCGATACGTCAACTAGGTAACGTTTCTCCAAGATGAACAATAGCAACAAGGATTGTGAGATGATTTTGAAACAGATTGCGAAAACGAGCGATTCAATTCGCAAAAAATATGGTACTTTAAAATTGGTAAAAAATGGTAAAATAGAGGAAAATATAGCATTGGAGAAACACTTTAAACCCATCATCGAACCTCTGAAACAGATCGTCGAACGCACCGAAGAGTCTCAGCCGATTAAGAAAGAAGCTAATGTTGTGAAAGATATCAGAATTAAGAAAGAATGTTGTGAAAAAATCATTAAGAAAAAACGCGAACATAGCGATAATGATGATGATAATGATGATGACGATGCATACCGGCTGGATGATGGATGGCTGAAATTAATGTCACAGTCAAAAAAGCAATGCGAAACAATTGAACAATATGTCAGATTTATCAACGCTCAGTTCTATAGATTTACTAATAGAATCACCGATAGAATCATCAATCGAATCATCGATAAAATCATCAAAAGAGCCATCGAAAATACCATCATTCGTATCGAAGGAAGAAGTTTTTGAAACAAAAGACGACAGTGAACTGTCGCTCGAAACTTCCGTCAGACAGACTGCAAACATAACAAGATCGAGAGGCACTACTTAGTCAGTTGGGACCATTGGCACAAAAATACGTACTCTCCCATGATGACAGAAAAAACGAAATTGATCACGTATACGGTCTATCTCAACAAAAATGGTACGATGCTCGACAACAAATAATTCGACGTCGACAAAGATGACTCCATAATCATACAATGTGAGATACAATGGTACACCAGGCTTATACGAGTTGATTTTTAAGAGACTTCCCGATGATGTAATTTTTACCGAGAATGACAAACAAACGTATAAGAATATACTGTTAGCAACGAATGCTCACAAACATGATCACAAGACCGATAAGTCCATTATAAGTAATAAGGAATACAAGTATATCATCGGTTCGCTTGTATCTGTGTATAAAACTGGCGCTAAAAGAAAGGCAGGCGTGGGCAATATACCATTCAAACGTAAGATTAACTGATAACATGATTGATTACATTCATTGGGACGACCCCAACGAACTAATGGATCGCCTTCGATCACTCGATGCTTCTCATCGAGCGGGCAATAACGCTCATAATAACGAGATTCTATCGATAATTGAGGAACTTTGCAAAGCCGGTCTTATTATATTTATTAATATATATTATAATATAATATAATATTTAGCATGTGATGCGAGTCATTTAGTCAACGTTGAAATGCCGATCAACAAGTTTGGAATATCGCTTGAAAAAAGTGGAGCGGAACCATACTATCAATGGGCCGGATTAGTCACAAATTTATGCGTGATAACACTCTTTGCATAGTTGCCACCGACTTTGACGCAAAATCATGCAAGATTCGACGTGTAGCTCTGCCAGATGATGACGATGTTGCCAACAAACGATACATGCAGCAAAGCATGCAAATTTTGAAAGACCGACAGGATGAAATCGAGAAGAAGATTGCGGAGCTCCAAAATAATGTAGACTACGCTAAAACGAGTTTTAACAAATGATGATTACTCATCTCGTTGAGAGTACGCACAAATAAATAAATACGTATAATACACTTTGCATCATTTGCAGTGTATCGTACACCGTAATCAAACATATCTGAGAAGAAGAAAAGCTTCGAGAAGCGACGGTTGGTAGAGGAACTGCATGCTCCAGCGAGAAGAAATTTTCCATGAAGATACATGATCGTTTACGGATACGATGACTTGGGGCAGGCGGATGTAGTTGAGATGCGTCCTTATACACGATTCAACAAAGGTTACCATTACATTCTCATCGTCATTGACGTGCTGAGCAAGTATGCGTGGGCCGTACCGCTCAAAACCAAGAGTAGAGATGAAATGGGCTCGAGCGATCGCAAAGATAATTCAAAATGATGGAAGATGTCCGAAAAATTTGCAAACATAGGAAAACATGGGAAAAGAATTTTACAACGCAAACGTGCAAAAATTCTTGAAGAAATATAACATTAATCATTATTCTATGTATTCTGTAATGAAGACATCGGTGGTCGAACGATTTAACCGTACATTGAAGAATGACATGTGGAAACAATTTACGCTCAACGGAAGCTATAAATGGATCGATTTGTTACTGCGTCTCGTGTCAGAGTACAACGCACGAAAACATCGAACTATCGGTATGCGACCCATTGACGTTACCCCCGCGATCGCTGACAGGCTCTTAACTACTGTATAGAATCGCTTAAAGATTGCTGCACCTGCGCGATTCAAAGTGGGCGACTCGGTACGCGTTAGTTAATTTAAGACAACATTTGAAAAAGGTTACACACCAAATTGAACCACGGAAGTATTTAAAATCATCAAAGTGTAGAAAATTAATCCCGTGACGTATCTACTGGAAGATTATAAGGGAAAACCTATTGCCGGAGGATTCTACGAGTTGCATTGCATCGCTAATCCTAACGTATATCTTGTAGAAAAAGTATTGCGCAAAAAGGGGGATAAGGTTTATGTAAAATAGTTGGGATTTGACAATTCATATAATTCTTGGACGAGGATAATGTACACGAGGATAATGTATTATAAAAGAAATAAAAAAATACGTTTAGTATAATATATCTTATTACAAAAGTATTTTATTACAAAATTTATATTAATGTATTATAAAAATAAATTTATTATAATATATCTTATTACAAAATATTTTATTACAAAAATTTATACTTTAAATTACTATTAAAAATACGATTAAAAAATATATATATAAAATATATTTTTTATTTATAATAGTATTTTATAATGTCCCCATAGCAGCGTGTCAATAGAATCGTGTACAATATATCGTTTATCATCATACGGACTTAGAGCAATTTTCGTTTCAGATACAGTGTACACTTCGTGAAATTTCGATCTTATGCAAGACTGCTGTCGTGTCATTTCAATTTTGTCTCACAGGCATCGCATGTAATCATCGAACGTTATCGATCTGGCTACAACGTTACTTTTAACACCTTTAACTTTTTTCGCATCTTTCTTACCATCGACGCGCAAGGCGTACATCTTTGTTCTAAGCCCAACGAATTCGATTCATGATTGCATCATTGTTTTCGTCTTTCATTAAACCCGGTATTTTTTTATTGGTAAATGGAATATCATACACATTATCGATCGCGTAATCGCTTGTATCAAATCTATTGATGTCACGTTTCATAATTTCGTATACACCATCGCATTCAATGAAGTAAACTATCAGTGTCAATGTACATAACTTTACATTTCTCGCGGAACAACGGCGCTATGTACTCGTAATGAAATTCGTATAAACATGTCTTGGATATATCGAGGATGCACATCCTATCTACATAGATCGGTTTGTTAAACATCACCTTGAGTTTGCGCATTTCTATCACTACCAGATTCTTCAAAAAGACGCTTCGACTGTGGAAGTTTGGTTTTGCAATCATTGTCTCAGCGCCAGATTTCCTTCCCATTTAGTGATAAGCCGCACATCGACATGATTGCGCACATTCTCTATGGTTTTACCAAAAACTGCGTTATTATAAATTTTTTTTCAAAATCATTCTTGGCTCAAATTCTGAAATTTGTATTGAACTGAATATAATCGCGAAGCCATGGAGATTGTGCAAACTGTAATACGCGGTGAATCTTTGCTACGCGAAAACCGTGACGAGTACACTACTGCAAGTTGCGATAATGTATGACATAACATTTCTTATCGTATAACGAGGAGCTTAGTTTATCGTTTGCTGGACGGTTTATCGCGCGTCGGACAGGACGGTAGATTAGTGTGTGCATTGTGAAGATATTGTGGATACTCCAAGTGCACCTTGAGAATGTAACCTGTCGTAGAATCTAGCGCGATATTCGTAATGTTAAAATTTGTTACATCATCGACTCATCGAAAATCTGCGTAGGATAATGGTTGACACATTGCCCAACCATACAAGTTATTTACATCAAAATACACCAGGTACCATGATGGTTTCGAGGGGATCGTACTGCATGTATTTGTTGTTGACCTGCGCGTATCTGTTGGAACATTGACTAAGACTTCCGCGTATACCGCGTTCGATGAATATGACCATGTCGATGTCAGTGAGAAGTTCAAAATTGATACTTATGTGCTTCAGCATCGCACGTCCCACGTAAAATCGGGTAGAGTATAATAGTACGCGGGATTGAGTCCGTAACTCGCGATGCAACTATCGCGAAAGTTTCTCAAAAATATCGGTCAACCACAAAATGTCAATTTTAAGATACAGATCGCTATAGTCCAAGCGTCCGGATGGAGAATCACTACCACACATTGACAGCGTGCGCGTAATCGCTTTCGAACACGGTGTCGCCCGTTAACTGTAGAATGATTCTCGCGATGGTAACTTGATCTCCTCCAACTTTTTGACGCAGTCAATGTATTTGTATGGAGAGACGTCTTTTCGTGTCAATAAATTGAAATTTTCTGCAGATACATTACAATATTCGCGCTGCGTTATCCGTAGCTTATCCTTGCTAGGAAAGTGCCAATTTGTCAAAACTGTTACTGAGAAATTTATACGAGTCAATAA